CACTGGGGAAGAGACTGCTTCTTCAGCAAATAGTGCTGGGAATATTGGATGTTCATACGTAGGAGAATGAAATTAGACCCATACATCTCACCATATACCAAAATCAACTGAAAATGGATTAAATAATTAAATATACATCTTCAAACAATCAAATTCCTTAAAGAAATATAAGGAAAACACTCCAGGAAGTAAGATTGGGTACAGACTTCATGAATACGACCCCAAAAGCACAGGCAACAAAGGAAAAATAAACAAATGGGATTATAACAAACTAAAAAGCTTACACATAGCAAAAGAAATAATTAACAGTGCAAAAAGACAACCAACAGAGTGGGAAAAAATATTTGGAAAACATACATCTGACAAAGGATTAATATCCAGATTATACAAGGAACTCAAACAACTTTACAGCAGAAAACCAAGTAACCCAATTAAAAAATGGGCAAAGGAGCTGAATAAGTATTTCTGAAAGGAAGATATACAAATGGCCAGCAGACATATGAAAAAATGCTCAACATCACTCATCATTCGGGAAATGCAAATCAAAACCACTTTGAGATACCATCTCACTCCAGTTAGGATGGCTAATATCCAAAAGCCTGAGAATGGTAACTGCTGGCAAGGATGCGGAGAAAAAGGAACCTTCCTACATTGCTGGTGGGACGGTAAAATGGTGCAGCCTTTATGGAAAATGGTATGGAGGTTCCTCAAACAATTATAGGTAGATCCACCATATGACCCAGCTATTCCACTGCTGGGTATATACCCAGAGGAATGGAAATCATCTTGTTGAAGGGTACCTGCAGTCTCATGTTTACTGCAGTGCTATTTACAATAGCAAAGAGTTAGAACCAGCTCAAATGTCCATCATCAGATGAATGAATAAGGAAAATATGGTATATCTACACAAAATGGAATACTACTCTACTATAAAAAAAATGTGAAATACTACCATTTGCAGCAACATGGATGGACTTAGAGAAAATTATTTTAAGTGAAATAAGCCAGGTACAGAAAGGGAAACACCACACGTTCTCACTTATTTGTGGGAGCTAATAAAAAATAAATAAATAAATATACAAACAAATAAATTGGGGGGGGGAGAAGACAACAATCACAACAATTCCTTGAACTTGTTAAGACAAGTGAACAGATATGATGTTGATATGCAGTGGAGGTGGGTGAGGGAGGGTAGAAGGGAGGAATTGGTAGAGAGACATGAAAATCAACTACATTGTACATTGATCAGTTAAAATTAAAAAAGACTTAAATAAATAAATATATCGGGTTCAGAGATTGTCTGACTGAATACTTTTAAGAAGTCAGTTCTCTTTAAACTGATATCTAAATTCAACACAATAACAATTAAAATACCAAAAGGCTTTATATATGTGTGTAAAGAAAAGTAAATTTGGAAGGCTCACAATATCTGGTTTCAAAACCTACTATTAAGCTAGAGTAATCAAGAAAGTGAGGTATTGCTTAAACACTAGACAAATAGATCAATAGGAGACAATGTAGAGACCAGAAGAGATCCATGCATACATAGTCATATGACTTTGGACAAGGGTGTCAAGTCAATCCAATGAGGAAACAAAAGTCTTCAACAAATGATACTGCAATGCCTGGATATACATATGGAAAAAATAAAGTGCAACCCTACTTAATACAACACACAACCATTAATTCAAGATGAATTATAGTCCCAAACATAAAAGTGAAAACTATAGGAATTCTAAAGGAAATCATAAGAGAATATTTTTGCATTTTAGAGGCAGGCAGGTATTTTTATGGGGCACACAAAAAACACAAACATTAAAGAAAAAAATAACAATTTGATTTTTATTAAAATTTCTGCTCATCAACAGACTATTAGGAAAATGAAAAGGCAAACCATAGTTTGGGTTAAAATTTTCACGATAGATACATCAGACAAAACATTGTATCCAGAATACATATATATATATATATATATTCACATACATATACAATTCAATAAGTCTTACAAATGAATAAGAAAAGGACAACTCGATATAAAACTATGAATTGTGTATGTAAATGAGTTGTATAAGAACATATATGCATAAATGTACACAAACATACAAATCCTACAAATCAATAATAAAAGCCAACTCAATATGAAAATGGACAATTAAAGCAAGTAGTTACTTTACAACAGAAGATATACAAATGGCCAAGAAGCGCATGGAAAGGTGAAAAGTTGCTCCCTATCATTAGTTATCAGGGAAATGCAAATTAACCCCCCCCAAAAGATACTATTTCACCCCCACTAGAATGGCCAAAATTAAAAAGACTGACAACCTCAAATGTTGGGGAGAATGTGGAACAACTCCCCCATATTGCTGATGGGAGCATAAATTTAGATTCATTTTGGAAAACTCTTATGCAGTTTCTTATAACGTTAAATGTACATCAACTTGATGACACAGTATTCACCTAAGAGAAACAAAAACTATGACCGCAAAAAGATGGATTCAAGAATATTTATAGAAGTTTTATTCTTAATAAGTCCCAAATTGTAAACAGTGCGAGTATTTATCAACAGAAAATGGATAAACAAGTTGTGGCTCGTACAATATGATGGATAAATATCAAAAATATACTATTAAAAATAAAGCCATGGAAAAAAGCAAATGAAAAGGTGCTCCACATTATATGTCCTCAGAGAAATGCAAATTAAAACAAGATACCTATTAGAGTGGCCAAAATCCAGAACACTGACAACATCAAATGCTGGTGAGCATGTGGAAAAACAGAAACTCTCATTTACTGCTGCTGGGAATGCAAAATGGTAAGCCACCTTGGAAGACAGTTTGGCAGTTTCTTACAAAATTAAACATACCCTTACTACAGGAGCCATCATTTGATATTTACCCAAAGGAGTTTCATGTCCATGCAAAACCTATACATGGTGTGTACAGCAGATTTTTGGAAGCCCTTCAGTAGGTGAGTGGATAAACTATGATACATCCAGACAATGGAATATTTTCAGTACTAAAAAGAACTGAGCTATCAAGCCATGAAAATATATCGAGAAACCTTAAATGCATATTAGTAAGTGAAAAAAGACAATCTGAAAAGGCTACATGCTGTGTGACTTCAATTATATTACATTATGGAAAAGGCAAAACTATGGAGACAGTAAAACGATCAGTGGTTTCCTGGAGCTGGAGGAGGGAGAGGTGCATGAATAGTCAGAACTCGGAGGATTTTTAACGCTCTGCATGATACTGCAATGGTGAATATATGTCATTATATGTTTGTCCAAACCCACTGAATGCACAACACTAAGCGTGAACCCTAATTTAAACTCTGTATTTTGGGTGATTGTGATGTGTGAATGCAGGTTCATCAAGAGTAACAAATATACCCCAAGTTGGTGGGAGATGTTGATAATGGGGGAGGCTATGTGTGTGTAGGGGGCAGGGGTTCTATGGGATATCTCTGTGGCTTTCTCTCCACTTTTCTGTGAACCTAAAACTGCTCTAAAAAAATAAAGTCTTGAAAAGAAAGTGCCATGGAGAACAGTAAGAAGGGAGACCTGTCCAGAGAGAGCTTATACCCAAAGAGAGAAAGCAAAATAAGAAGGGACGTCCTCTACTTCTTTTATGATAATATTCTTCCAAGTCCTCTAGGGGAAAGTAAAATTAGAAGTCCATGATGCAGTTTGGTGGGAATGTTACATCATCCAGCTTGAGTAAAAGGGCATCTAGAACAGTGGTGCCTGACATTGGTTGCATCCTGGAATCATCTGAGAGCATTAAGAAAAAATAACACCTGAGTTCCATCTCCAAAGATTTGACTTCATTGGCCTAGTATGTAGCCTGGGCATTGAGACTTTAAAATGCTCCTTAATTTTAGTGTACAGCCAAGAACAAGGACCACTGCCTTTGCGGGAAGCCTAGGACAACTTTGCTGTCCACCAAGGAAAGGAAGTCAGATAAAGTTGCAAATATTGAATTTGAGGTGAAGATGCTAGTTTGGGAAAACTGAAAGGAAGACTTGAATCTATCAAGACCAAGTGCCCTAGAGGAGGAAGCTGTTCTCTGGCAGCACCCACAGCTGGATGCAGGCCTCGGTGGCCAATTTGCCATGACTCTGAAACCTGTCAGCATTTAAGTGTCTGGTGTACCTTTTCTCTCCTGAGTCTTATACGACTTGATTTGAGGAAAGCCTTCTTGGCTAGGTTCCTATGCAGGGAGACAGAGAATGTTGAATCTCTCCAAACATATATTTGTCTAGGCTATTTTCGCAGGTTCCTCAAGTAGGTTGACCAAAGCTTGGTACCAGGCAAAGCACCGTCATCAGAGGCAAAGCCAGCGCAGTCAGATGCCACAGCGCTCTGGTACCCAGGGAACCTGCTGGGCAAAAGCTACCTCTCTTCTTCTCTCATGATAAAGCAGGGTTGAAGTACATTTCTGAATCTGTATTTTCAGGCAAAATGACCCCTAACATCTGGTCCCATAAGAGTTTTAACGTAGTACCTCATGAAGCTGAAATTATGACGTAATTATTTTTCTAAGTTTGTCTTTTTTATCTATGTTGCCATGAAGATCATGCAGTTTGAAGAGGAATTATATAATTGCCATAGTAGTGAATATTTTCAAATATGATTCTAGCACTGGTTTTGAGAAAGAGGTTTAGCAATCACATTAAAAGCCAATCATATTATCTTGGGGTTTAGATATTATTTCAGAAGAGGTGATTTCTCATAGGTTGACTCATGCCAAGCAATAACAAACTGCAGTATACGATTTGCACTGAATACCTCCTCTATTTTTTTCATCTTATCAAAACAAACCTACGGCACCAACACCGTTATTCTTGCCTAGGTCATGTATAGAACTTTAATTACTTTATTCTTCTACAGCTGAGTCCATTGATGTAAAGTGGAGATATTTTTAGTTATGTTTTACAGAAGAAATTGGAAGGCTTCATGAAGAATCAGAGGTGTATTTATGAAGAACCCATTTCTGTTCTCAGCAAAGTGTCCTGGGATCTGCCTTGTGGTCTGTCTTTACCTTTAGGTTGCTCTGAGCCCAGAGTAGAACGGTCTCCACAGCTCTCCTCAACTTGGCATTGCTTGAGATCAGGACGGCTGCATGTCCAGATGGACAAGCTGCCATTGTGCCCACACAAACCATGACCCCGATCTTGTTGTGGCACAGCATCAGTAAAGGCACTGAGGTGAGGGCAGCACAGAAGGACACCACGTAGAAGCAGAGAAAGGAGACAAGTGATTTGAGGGCTCTGATGTGGGCCTCCAGGCTGGGGTCACAAGAGTCTCTGGTTTGGGACTTCATTGTCCTCATATGCCTCCCTAGGGAGACGATCAGCACCCCAGAAGAAACCAGAAAAAATAGGAAAGGGGGGATAGACACCAGATTGCAGAAGACAAAGGGATAAAAGAAATCGAGTTTTGCAATTTGCAAATCAAGTCCCGTATTGTTGTTATTCATGAATAATAAAGCTGTGGCTGTGAAGTGAGATCTGTTGAAAAAATCCCACAAACAGAGGACACTGCAGATGCAGGAGAAAAGACTAGCACCCAGGAGCATCTGGGGGACCTTCCTGGAGATCCAGCTGGCCAAGAAGAGCAGGAGGGTGTGTGAGAAACGGACAATCTTGGAGCAATAGAGGAGACTGAGGCAGGTGGCCATCCAGAGGCTGGCTTGGTTTGTGATCATCCAGAGCACGATGATGATTTGGTAGCTGTAGCTCAGCGGGGTTTTCGTCTGCTGGAAGAGGGTAAGCTGGATGGCATTCAGAAATAGCAGCCCATGCAGGAAAAGCCGGGTGACGCTGAGACACAGCAGCACAAGATCACAGTTGCTCAGTGGCTGCCTCTTTACCATGTCCCAAAAATTCACCAAGAAAATGAAGGCATTGGCTAAGATCCCCACAGCAAACTCTAGGACTGAAAGGAACAGAAATGCACACTTGACTTCATAGGACACCGTCAAGGCGGGAGTCAGAGTCCACATGTTTCTTCTCTAGTTGGCAAATCTACTTAAGACTCAGATACCGCCCAGTGGAGAAGGCTGAGGGTATATTCTGAGCCACAATCTTTCCTTCACAAAGCATATAGATCTATTTTGCCCTAGATCTATTCTAAAGTATGTCCGTAAAAAGTTCTGCCAGGAAACTTAGACGGATGTTGCTTTAGAATCTCTCAGATAGAC